GATCTGGAGCAGTAATTTTAAAATGAAGAAAGTTTTTTCACTTTAAAATAATGGACCAGATAGGCTACCAAGTATAGTTTTTGAAGAGTAGCACTCACTAGTGAAACATTTTATAACCATGTTCAGAGTACCATTATTTTCAAGTTTTGCCCTGTTCTCTTTGTATCATGTGTATTTGTATTGTAGAAAGAATATGATTGACATTAGAAAAATGTTATTTGGTTTTTTTGTACAGCCAAATCTAGGCAATTAGTTCACTTTAATGGATAAAAGTATTCAAAATGCTTCATTCAAGAGGTGCTCAGGATGTCTGAATTCGTCCTCGACCACTTCATATCTAACTTTTTGATTGACTAGAAGGGAGCAGACTTCCTCGTGTTTATATTCTGTATCCTGTCAATTTGAAAGCAACATATGCCATGAGTTCTTAATGAGGTTTGGTGGGCCATTGCTCATAAAAGATACATTGAATGTTGAGTGACAGGAACATTAAGAGTGTATTTACTGATAGATGTCTTCTTCACTGCTCATTTAAATATTATATTTTTCATTAACTTCTTGAAATGAAATCGTTCAGGCATGAATCTCTGCCTGTGTGCAGAACAGTATGTGTGAATAGTGAAAAAGCTTTCTGCCGAGTGCATGTAGGCAGAACACCCTCATATATAACCAGGCTCATTAGAAAAACATAGTTACATGTGGCAACATTTCTGCAAAACGCAAAATATGTTGCGTCACACACGTTTCGTGGCAGTTTCAAAGTGAAATGTCCAGGGAGTGGCGCTAAAACCGTGTTTAGTTTTTTTCCGGAACAGATTAACGTGAGTATGGTCATATTATACGTAGGCCTACAAACTCCAATGTTTTATTGGTAATCGGAACCATGGCATTTTAGCTCTTTTATCGTGACTTGTTTTTCAGTCAAGTAGCCTACAGTAGGCTACCAGCTGAGCTACGCAAACTCCAAAATATATTCGTTTACAAATCATGCACTATGGTAAAAAGTGTTTTGAGGTCATAACATAATTGTGCAAAGTGCCACGTGAAAAAAACTCTTTATTAATCCATACTCTGCCCCTCTAATCATAATTGTGTGTGAACATTTATGTTCAAAAATGTTGCCACAGGTAGGCCTACGTTTTTATTCTCATCCCAAAGCGCCATATACTGACGCTCTACATCTGATGCACATGGCACCAGGGGCGGATCTACAGGGGGGCAAGAGCCCTCTCTAGAGCCTTGCCCCCCCTGCTGCCCCCCTAACTTTGATAAACCAAAAACTGTACTTGTAAAAACAACCTGCCACTATGTCCACAAGCTTCTCAAAACAGTGAACTAAACAATACATTTACCAAAAGTGAACAATTTAATTTTTAATTTTAAATATATTATTAGCCCCTCCCCCCTGCGTCCCTGATTCAAACGTGCAGAGCGGCGTTGGCGGCTCACACACACACACAGCGAGTCAGTCTGCTGCGGTGAGGTGGCCCTGCAACCCGACTGGAGAGAGTGAGCTTCCCCAGAGCCTCTGAAGGTGAAGTGAGTTTCCCCAGGTGTAGTTTAAACACACACGTTTAACTTAAAGTTACATTTGTAATGAATGTATTGTATACTAAAGACGATTCAGCATCAGCAAAAACAGCGCGTCTATTACGTTAGCCAAAATCAGCGGTCAATTCGCTCCCTCGTGATTTGTAAGAGCACTCTTCCCTTTGATTAGCCTAATTTTGATTTTAGTAAAGACAAGAACAGCTTAAGGCGAGACACAAAAACATCGGGGTTTTTTTCACTGGTTAATTTGAAGATTTTGGGCTATTTGTCTTCAATAACATGTCTTCTTTCAGACTTGTGGTGAAATTTTTTTTCCAAAAAAACACATTTAGGACTTTAGTTTACTACACTTTGTCTATTTGCGTCAGTATTCTCCTAAATTCAACAGAAGTTGTCGTTCTAAATCAACATGTTGCTCCGCGATCGCTGCATGTCAATGTCATCACATACATCTCTGTTGGAAAGCTCTCTCTCCTGTACATTGTTGTCGTATCCAAATATGGTCATTTCCTTTTAATCAGCAACCAATCGTGAAAGTACAATGGGCATTTAACTCTAAAACCGAAATCTCATTGGCTGATGTCAATTTCTGACAACGTGATTCGTTCAGATGCATCACGTGACGTGCTCTGACATTTAGATATGCGTTTTTGACTGTTTTTCTGTTCAGTTGAAGGCCATAAATGCTGTGATTTAGGTGGTTTGTATGGTTGTTGCTAATGATTTGGTAAGATATTGTGTCTGTAAATAGTTGTTTCCACTAAAAAAAGTATGAATTTTTACATTACAAATCTTTAAATGCTGTTTTCTCAAAATTAGTTTTTTTGTCATTCTCCAGTACAAACATCTCAGCCTGTGTAGCACCTATGTACACCAAACTTTCCAGTTATACACTTAGCAGTATTCTGAAGATATTTTCAGAGGGATTTGTTAATAAATCATTCCTAAAAACCTTTGTAGTGTGTAAGGGCATGATTAAACAATAACGTTAATCATTTAATAATGATTAAAAGTGTTTTTGTGTTTGTTTTGTTAAAGCAATTCACATATAGGGATTCCCATGTACCGTCTACCCCTGCCACCCTGCCAAGACCTCTTGCCACCCCTTTGCCCCCCCATATAAAATTTTCTAGATCCGCCACTGCATGGCACCCTTTAGCGTCAATATAACAGCTTCGGTTATGGGTAGGTTTAGGTCTGGGGTAGTGTTAGGGTTAGACCACTAGGAGGCGCCATATATCTGCGTCTCATATTGACGCTAAAGGGTGCCATGTGCGTTGGATATAGACGCTTTGGGAAAAGCGTCAGTATATGACGCCTTGGGATGAGAACGGGCTGGTTTTTCCAATGAGTCTGTGTTGCATATACACATTCTTATAGGCCACATAAGAACCCAAACCTGTTTGCTACCAGCATTTTCTGCAAAAGCAGCCACCTTGATTTGTGTGCTTTGAGTAAAAATTGATTAGGTAGCCTACAATGTTCTTTCTGAGTTCAGTTCTGAGTTTTCTCGTAAGCTCAGGAAAGAAGAATCAAGCCGGCTGCTGATGGAACTATAATTTGCCTATTTTGAAAGCTTCAGTGAAATTGTGAACAAACAGAATGGAGAGTACCATTTCTTTCACTTTGAAGGTTTTGGTCATTAGAGAGGATTTCTCTTCATGTCCAACCACAACCAGCCCTAAAAATATAGGTGACTAGGCTATCTATTTTTCTGTTTTGTTCATGTCTGTGTTTCTAGGTCCACTTTCTGTGGTTTGTTTATTAGTTGTGTCATCCTCTGTTCCCTGCCTGTTTGTCACCATGGTTTCTGATTGATCTGAGTATTCTGTTTAGGTCTGGGGGGGGGGGGGGGGGGGGGGGGGGGGGGGGAGATAAGTGGATAGAATATACAAAGTCCCTAATAAACCATGAATAAATGTTGGGGTCTGGGGTTTTCTGATTGAATTCCATCTTGTCTGCAAGGCTAACAATGAGGAGTGGCAATATGCACTGATGCCATTTTTTCCAATCTCTCTGTGTTTTATTGCAGAGCTACTATAGTCCAGTGGATTGACACAAACACAATATCCTGCTGTGTCACTGTCCAGTTTTGTCAGGATTAAACTGATGCATTTCTGTTTTATCCCCATGCATTATTAGATCACAAACCGGCTCACTTCTCAAACATACTGACAACAAATACATTATGATTAAAATAAACTATTTATGCATACTAGGTTTTTTTGCTTAACTTATATACATACAAGATCAGGGAAATTAAGCATGGTTGTATCTCTTACAATGAACAATCATAATGACAAAAACAGGAAATAAATATCATGGATTTGCGTACATCAAAATATGTAATTATATACAGAAAAAAGAAAGGTTAAATCATAACTTTGAATAAATTGTCATAATGCATAAAAGAAAATTCCCTTTTTTTTGTTATTTAAGTCTAAGAGATAAATTCAGCAAGAAAAAACAACAGCTTTGGGTTTTCATTATTAAAGATACCCTTGAGGACGAAGGTGTGGGTCACATTTATGGACTAAAAATAAGAACTTAAGTCAACCCAAAATTTATTGGTTATACGACAATTACAAAATAAATGGGAAGCTGTTTCTTCAACAAAACCACAAAAAATTATTTAGAAAATATTTAGAAATAGAGAGATTTTAGGAAGGATTTTATAAGGAATTTTCTAATTTCTTTCTCCAATTTACATTTGTTACAAAGGAACCCCCAATATAATTTACCCCTTGTCACAATAAGAATTATTATTTTTATAATTATTACAATATTTAATATTATTAAAATCTTTATAATATTTTGTTAAATGCTGCTGCTCTTCACTGTTTTAATGTGTTAAAAATGCAATTAAATACCACCAAAGTGAGCTATTTTAGTAGTTTGAAGTGTAGCTCTTTGCTTTTTCAATAAAGCTTAACTATAGTTGAACTATTTTATGTTATGAGAAGCATGTACCTTGAGAAGCTACATTTAGCTTCCCCAAATCTGTCTATCACTGATTCAGCCATACTTCTGAACTGAGATCAGTTTATCCGTAGCATTATAATGTATCAACCCCTGACAGCCCTACAGTTTATAGGGAGATTGCCTTGTGTACAATCTAATTCCTAAATCCCAGTTTGCAAGCCAGCCAGCTGACATCTACGTCCTGTATGTGCTCATAACAGATGGATGAGATTAACTAGCACTATTCGTCACTTATACTGACAGGGCTGCATATGATTTATCCATAGAGAAAACACGTACATCCTCTTTTGTTGTCGAAGAGGAGCTCAAAATGTAAACGTCAGGATGTATGCAACCACCAGATCATAACAGGTTACATAGTAACCTATTAACACAATAAGCACTCTTTATATAGCTTGATCCGATGTAATTCTGAATTCCCTCAATGCAATCCCTCTCTGTGAAGAGCCACACTTTTGAGACTGAAAATGAGAGCGCTGATCATTTTCATCTTCCTGACCCCAAGATAATCTCACAATGTGTGCAGGTTACGGTAAGTCAAAATTGGTCCATTCACACAAACCGCTGTCACTTTGTGAGGCTGGATCGAATTGACAGTTTGTTTGGGAAAAAAATATTACTAGCTTCATTGTCAAGCCAGTGTGATTGTGGCACTGCAATCTCAAAGCGTTTCTGTATTTGATAAATGTGAGTGTCTTAGGAGGAGTAGATATTTAATATATTGGAAATCTGAAAATCTGGGTTTTCCTTCTATGTAACAGATAACATAGGGCACCTTTCATAATTATGACAAAATACTGACAGAATACTACTTTTTAATATCCATTTATTATCATATCATATAATGTATCTTACAAAAAAAAAACAGATTTATTTTTGTCAGATAGGACACGTGTTACAATAATTTAATAAGATACAGTAAGAGATTATAATTTGCACAAAGAAATTATATTTTTTTAGACTATTATGATTGGAATTAGTATTTTTCCCCCCACATTTCAGCACATATTTTTCCTTCTGAGATTTGTAATCCCCATTATTCTCAATGGTTATGCTGATTACTGTAACACTGAAATATTTTAAATACTAGCAATCCTTTAAAATATTTCAACTAGATTTATGCTCATTTAAATAAATAAAAAATGTATTACAGTAGGTTTAATATTTTATTGACAGATAGCTACAAATAAATACTCCCATAATGAGAATAACTGAGAATGTTGAGAATTTAAAAACAAAAGTATGTCAGAGAATAGTATGAGACTTGGTAATAAGAACTTTAAGCCAAACATTTATTTCTTTGCTTTGGTTTTTCGGGGTAAATATGATGCAGATACGGCCTTGACAGGTTTGTTATTGTTAGTTTCATCTGTGCATATTTTATATAATTAAACTTTCATGAATATACCTTTTAGAGGTAAAAGTATTGCACATTGACTTTTCAGTCAGACTAAGATTATTATTATTATTCGCCTGATTTCAGTGTTCAAAGTAATTGGAAGATTTCTCTGTATATCAATTGAACATGACATTGGTGAGAAATTATTTGATGTTCCTCTTTTCAGCTATTTATGAATGGCTGAATCTTGAATGTGATTCAGTGTATAATTCCGATTCAGACTTTCAACATCAATCAATGTAAATGGTGGCTAATGTCAGCTCTTCACTCTCAGACAGACCCATGTGGGGAAAAGTACTTTGCAGTGAGGAACAATAATTCACATCTTGACTTCTTATTGAATATCTGTCTTATTAGGACAGTGGGTACAGTTTCTCCCTGGAGGCAGTGAAGACCCTGAAAAAGCTTATGGAGTTTGACACAAGTGCTAACCCGCGACAGACCTACGGCGATGCAGCGTCCCTATGTGCCGACCCTGACCTGCCAGAAGAGTTCAGAGCTGTGCGAAAAGATGCTGACGAAGTCTTCCAACGTCTGGGTGGGTGTGCAGTAAAAATCACTGATAAACATATAGACGTATGAGATGCTGTCTTTTAATATAATTATACAATACATACTACCGTTCAAAAGTTGTTGTTATTTTAAAGAAATTAATACTTTATTCAGCAAAAGCACATTCAATTAATCAAGTGTGACAGTAAATATGTACAATGTTACACAAATCTAATTTTAAATAAACGCTGTTCTTTTGAACTTTCTGTGCTATATCCTAAAAAATCAGCATATTAGAATGATTTCTGAAGGATCACGTGACACTGAAGACTGGAGTAATGATGCTGAAAATTCAGATTTGCCATCACAGGAATAAACTACAGTTACACTTTATTTCGATAGTCGATAGAGTATTATAGGTGTTGGGTTCAGGTTAGTAGGATAGGTTGACATGTAGTTACGGTAACACTTTAGTTTAATGTCCAATTCTCACTATTAACTAGTTGCTCATTAGCATGCATATTACTATATTCACTGTTTATTAGTAATTATGAAGCACATATTATGAAGCATCTACCAGCAGAGTGTAACTGGCCCATGCTAACAAGCAAAACCATGACTTCCTTGTTTTTTCTCAAATGTTAGATTTTGAATCAAGCACCAAAAAGAGAGCATGAAAGTGTGGAAGTGTGTTTCTCTGTTCAGTGCAACAGTTAACATGTGATTTGTCATGACGCACAGAAATCTTTTGAGCGAACACATTTGCACTTTCATCTTTTCCCCTCTGGAGCGGCATCAATGGGCAGCATGATTTCCCTGTCAGTCTCCCAGGCACGCATTACCTTTCCCCAGCAGTGGCAGGCAGACAGCAGAGGTGAGAAATGATCACCTTAACTGTGATTCTGCCGCCGCCATTATAGCTCTGGCAGAGGCCTGATCAAAAGAGCTGACGGCTGAGAATATTTCTCTAGTCTTGGTGCATCATGCACTTCCTCAGCCTCCTCTGCTTTTTACATTCTTACTAGTGATCATTTAGTTTGACTTTAAAAAAAAAAAGAAAATTCAAAAATACATTAAAATCTGTAATACACTGTTTTCTATTTTAAATATATTTAAAAATAACATATTCCTTTAATGGCAAAGCTGCATTTTCAGCATAATTTATCCACATGATCCTTCAGAAATCATTCTAATATGCTGATTTGCTGCTCAAGAAAAATTTTGAGGACAATATTTTATACAATAAAAGATATACAATATTCAACTCATTTATTTCATTCAACTCAGTCAGTTTAGTCATTTAGGTTGAAATTACTTAAACATCCAAGTTGATTGTATATTTAAAAATGTAAGGCAGCAACTTTTTTACAGTGTTTATTTGAAATAGAACATTTAGTAACATTCTAAATATCTTCACTGTCACTTTTGATCAGTTTAATGCATCTTTGCTTTATAAAAGTATAAGTTTCTTTAAAAAAAAAAAAAGAACTTAATGACAGTCATTTGAACAGTATAGATTAAAAGTCAGTGATGTCAACATGAACTCAAATATTTTTCATCAAAGAGGTTCTTTATCAAATTATCTGAGCTGGTATGCGAATCACACTGGCTCTTCATTTTTCTGTTTTCTAATGAATATAAGGCGAAACACGTGCCAAGTTGATACTTCATGAAATATAACTCCAGTAAGTGTCATAAGCTTTGAAAGAGCAACCTCTGAGCAGTAAAATTGTACTTTAGGGAGGCATAGAGATCTTGTCGCATGCATAATTGTCTCTTTGTAAACAAGGCTTCTCTCATGGGCCATATCTTTTATTGCCATCTTAAAGGCTAGACTGTTTTATTGGCTGAATGTGAGAGCACTCCAGAAGTTTTCAGAGTGGAAAAGTCGCATTATTATCAGCAAACATAACACAGGGTTAGGACAGAGGAGGCTGACCTTTTTAACGCTGTGTCAACAGTGAAAATCATCACCTGTGAGATCTGTGCCAACACGGCCTGCACCGGCTGTTTCTGAGCGCACACACTTCCAAGTATCCTACACAGCACACAAGTTCATGTCTACATCAGTGTCATCAAACATGCATGATCACTCTTACATCAACAGCGAGTGAAATATAACAGGGTAAAACACGTTACTAATTATATTTTACAGAGCGAAGAGAAAAATATTTATTTAAGTGTGTTTCATTGAATGTTTGGGTCACATAGCCTACAAATCTTTTTTAAACAGAAACCAAATTTGGTTTTGAATGAAGATATACTGCCCCCTAGTGAATACAAACTATTACTATTACATATAGCCTACATTAGACCTGTGCCCAATCCTGTTCCTGGAGATCTACCTGCATGCGAAGTTCAGCTCCAACTCCAATCAAACACAACTGAACCAGCTAATTAAAATCTTCAGGCGCACACAAAGTTAACTGAGTAGGTATTTATTTTAAATAAGTAGCAGGCTTACATGTTTTGTATGAATGCAATCCTGGCATACTACATTCGCCATGTTGTCATTATCATGTGACCTTCTAGCGTCAGTTACGTCGTTTCACTGCCATTCACAAATCGCATACTCTCAGGTAGCCTAGCCAATAGATATCCATAATAAAGGCTAGATGTCTCGTCCGCGCTGCTGGCCAATGGAGGTCGGCGTCTGCACCTGGCGGCCATCTTGTCACAGGCAGCTCGCTCACTCGTAACATTGTGTTTTAATGGTGCATGTACTTTTTAAATAACCATAACTTGCTCAATTTTCTACCGATTTTCAAACAGTTTGGTTTGTTATAAACGTAAGAGATGTAGTTATGACACTGCATACTTATGAATAATAAGTGTATAAATAAAATAATCATCCAGAGAATTATAGCCACGTTAATAACGTTTGTAAGAAACCAAACCGTTTGTAAATCCGTCAAGATTTCAATGAGATAAGAGTATTTGTGTTCGTGCTGATCACTCATCTCACATCAGGTACCACAGAACTAGAGCCGGCTAGAGCTATAACAGCCGGCTAGAGCTATAACAACAATGGCAGGCTACACCCGCAGCTGTTGTTGTAGTGTACCGGGTTGCTCTGCATCAGGACGTAGTTTCCTCAGTTTTGACGTTTCCACTTGAGAGTTTTCATTTACCATCCGAACCACATCGTCATATGTTACTTCAGGCAGGTTGGGGAGAGATTTGGTCCAGCGGTATCTATCGGACTCCGCCATTGTAAAAAGCTAACCGGAAGATCCGTATCCCTACTAAAAGACGTACTTCCGGTCTTCAATTTTTTTTTGTGACATAGGCCTATTGTAGGCTTAAAGTGTCACACTCTAATCAGCTAATTAAACCAAAACACCTGCAAAGGGTTCCTGAGCCTTTTAAATGGTCTCTCAGACCCCATTTACACCTGGTATTAAAATGCGATCTGTATCCAGATAAGTTAACCGGATAATAAAAAACGCATGTTAATGCAAGGTGTAAATACGTTGTGATCGGATTGTGATCGGATCTGCCTGACCACATCTGGAGGTAGTCTGGCTCGCATTGTGTTCGGATCTTAACTAGGTGTAAACACAATCCGTACGACGTGATGGCATTCGTACCTGCCAAACGTCATTTTTTTTCTGGAGGACTATCCGAACTCAATGTGGATAACGAGAACGCATTAAAAATACAAGGTGTAAACGCAAAGGTAAGATCAGAACACTTATTATCCAGATAACTTATCTTGATACAGATCTCATTTTAATACCAGGTGTAAATGGGGTGTCAGTCTGGTTCAGTAGAATTCACAGTCATGGGGAAGACTGCTGACCTGACAGTTGTGCAGAAAACCATCATTGACACCCTCAGGGAAAGGGAAAGCCTCAAAAGGTAATTTCAAAATAAGTTGGATGTTCTCAAAGTGCTGTATCAAAGCACATTAATAGAAAGTTAAGTGGAAGGGAAAAGTGTGGAAGAAAAAGGTGCACAAGCAGCAGGGATGACCGCACCCTGGAGAGGATTGTCAGGAAAAGGCCATTCAAATGTGTGGGGGAGCTTCACAAGGAGTGGACTGAGGCTGGAGTTACTGAATCAAGAGCCACCACACACAGACAGATCCTGGACATGCGCTTCAAATGTCATATTCTTCTTGTCAAGCAGCTTCTGAACAACAAACCTCAGAAGCATCTTACCTGGGCTAAAGAAAAAAAGAACTGGCCTGTTGCTCAGTGGTCTAAAGTCCTCTTTTCTGATGAGAGCAAATTTTGCATCTCATTTGGAAACCAAGGTCCCAGAGTCTGGAGGAAGAATGGAGAGGCACACAATCCAAGATGCTTGAAGTCCAGTGTGAGGTTTCCACAGTTTGTGTTGGTTTGGGGAGCCATGTCATCGGCTGGTGTTGGTCCACTATGCTTTATTAAGTCCAGAGTCAACGCAGCCGTCTACCAGGACATTTTAGAGCACTTCATGCTTCTGTTAGGGGAAAACAGTTAAAGACCCAGAACCAGATATGATGAATGAAGACCAGGAGTCAGAATTATAATAAATTAAAGAAAATATTTACTGAAGATAGTTTGCAGTTTCATCAGCAGAAGTCAGCTTCAAGACTCACATAGGAGTTCGTAGGCCGCCCCCCTTACAGTAAACAAAGATCACAGCAGTTATACCATTTTCCAAGGTCTAAGCTACGTCATTGCTTACAGGTTGAATGATTCTCACTGGCTAAGAAATAGATAAACATAGTAATTTTCCACACATATACAGATAGACGGAAGCATATCTCCATCGATTATGCAGCTGACACTCGGACCCTGAAGTTAGGCACGTCATGACCTTCCAGGTCGCAGATTTGGGTTGCTGGGCGCCAGCCTGTCCCGAACAACAACTCAGTCAATCTCCAATAATGCCAGTGGTTCCTTAACCTGTAACCAGAAAGACTAACACACACACCGACACACAGCTTTTCCAAGGTTGGATTTGGCCAGGCTCTAACTGTAAACAGGAGTTCTTTCTCTCAAGTAGAGCTACACTTTAGTCTAACTGGAAAGTAAGGCTTTAAAGGGGCACTTGGCAACTCTAGCCATTTCTTCGCTGATTTTCACTTTTGTTGTCGCATGTTTTCTCATCGAGCTCCCCCTACAGCTGTGCGGCGTATATTTTCACAACACTGTCATAAAAAAAATTCACTTGCGGCTTTCTACCGCTGCTTATGTGCATATTATTATCGGAGCCGGCCAACTTTATCGTGTGGAGCTATGTCTACCGAGGTGAGTAATACATCATAAAGAGTATCATAGAATTATGTCGAATTGCCATAAAGCAGTTTGTGTTTCTCACTCGTTCTCGCTTCTCACAAGACTTCCTATTTCCAACTTACCGGGACGTTAGTCCCCATGTTGCAAGGTTGGTTTTCCGCCTGGGAACGCTGGGGGGAGCGGGGAAAGTCACCATTCTCTCCAGAACAGGTTATTAAACCATCCAAATGATTTCTAAACGGTTTTATTAAGTTGAAATAGTTGTCAAGTGCCCCTTTAACAAAGAAATGGTGCCTTAAACTATTGGCTTCAATGACCCCTATATGTGTTAACACGTTGAAGACCTTTCTCAAACACAAAGCAAGTCCCTCATTTCTGGAAGCCGGGCTAAATGAGCAAGCACTGTTACTGCATTCAGATATCAAATACAGACATTAAAGAATATACATGAAAAGAACATTTCAGTAATCACACTGGTAACTTCTATAACAAAGTAAAATCTCACAAGCCTAGAGAAGTGATTCAACTCATTTGATATTTAGAAGGAAACTTTTGATTATCGCAATTTTAGTAACTCACTGTAAATCCTGTCCAGCCAGCAACAGTCTGACGCAGGCGCAGCGCGCAATGTTTTTTTTTTTTTTTTTTAGAGAAGGAACGGCGGAAGGCAGCTGTGACCGTGCTCGGGAGATTTGTCTAGCCTTTTAAGAGGACCAAATCTGAGGTGTGGTCATATTTTGGCTTTTACAAAAGTCCTGAGGGAAACTTGATCGAGGATGGTCACCCTTGTCTGCACAAAAAGTCGCTACAATAGAAACGCTTCAAATCTTCCAAGTCGTCTTGTGTGACCAGTGGCGTGCACAGACCTCCTCAGGGGCAGGGGCGGAGGGAATATTTTTTTAATATTTAATTTAACAGTACCTGCATTTTTATTCTCTCTATTCAGCCAACTTGTGAGAGGGATGCTTCCTTTGGCTGCATCATAGAGTTCCTTGATTTTTTTTTTTATTCTTTCTTTCCTTGGCATTCTAAGAAAATATGTTTTTACAATTATTAGAATGCATAACACATCAAATGAAAATAGGGAAATTATGATAATATTACTAAATATTATTTACTTTACCAAACAAAACAGTGAGAATCAAGAAAGTAAAAATAATAATTTTATGGAAAACTAATTTTTAGTTTTGTTGATGTTGTAAACTTAATGTATGTATTATATGTATGAAAGACAGTGTTAGCTATCATGAATCAGAAACACTTTACAGTAAGGTTTCATTTGTTAAATTAGTTAGCATTAGCTAATAATGAACTGCACTTCTACAGCATTTATTAATCTTAGTTAATATTAATTTCAGCATTTACTAAAACATTAAAATCAAAAGTTGTATTTGTTATCATTAGTTAATGCACTGACTGTGACATAACATGAATAAACAATTAACAGTTGTATTATTAAGATTCAGTAACAAATGTGTTGCTCATGGTTAGTTCATGCTAGTTCATACGAGTAATGAACAAATGAACCTTATTGTAAAGCGTTACTATGAAATCAAAGATATAAGTTCCTTACAATTTAGAGTTGGACATAGACTTAATATTTCATTTAACTACCGGTAGATGTATTTCCCCTTGCACTTTTATTCCTTGGATAAAAACGAAAAACATTGTCACTCAGAATGCGTCTGAAATCGAGTTATACTTTTATTATAGTTAAGAATAACTCGCTTGCTGCCGCAACTTTTAGAGTAGCATGGTGATCGTAGGATAAATGTAATTTTCCGTATTACCT